TCTATAAAGTTTTCCAGATTATTGCTTCTCTTATGTCTTTAGCTTCTAGTTATTGTGTTGGATGGAATGTATTCTACTTTTGCTTTCAACCGGAGTTTGCGGTGAATTTATAATGTGATATGTTACTGCTTATTTTTCAATATATATATTGCAAGTTCAACTAATGAAGCATGTTATTTTTAAGAGTCGAGATGGGCACGAGTCGGTTTTGTGCTCAACCCGAAACCAAAACCGACCAACTCAATATGTTTGTCCAAACCAAACCGACCCAAAATGATTCTTAAATCGGTTTTGGCATCGAACCAAATAAAAAACAAGTTTTGCATTACCAAAATTCAATATAGAAGCACAAAAGAAAATGTGATGAATATTACACTATACCTTTGATGATTACAAATATGATGTACCAAGATATCAACACACCAAAATTATCCGAATGTCCAGCTTTTATGGATTACCATATAGAAAGAACGAATTTGGAATTCTTCCACTACTAAAAGATAGTCAGATTTTTGGTAGAATAATATATAGTCCGTGTCTAATGGAGCTTTTTGCAAAATCTATCAGATCAGATTTTGATAGATTTGAGTTGATTTTTTCAATTAAAAAAATCTGAACCTTGAATATGAAAGTTTGAGTAGGGTTGTAGGATACAAACATATTTATTACAAATGTCAAATTCATCATAAGAATTATTTTTGCAGAATTACTTTTTTGCCCCTCTCCATTCATAGACAAGTACTATTGGAAAGGCAAAATAGACTTGTATTGTCTAGNTATTACAAATGTCAAATTCATCCTAGGAAATATTTTTGCAAAATTACTATTTTGCCCCTTTCCATTCATATACAAGTTCTATTGGAAAGGCAAAATAGACTTGTATTGTCTAGCTACTATTGTTGACTTTCCAATCTTTGAATGTTGACGATTAAATAAACATCATAGGCCCAATTAGGTCTATGAAAAAGGCTATTAACAATTATTAAGTTTGTGATATTATTATCCTAATATGATCACAATAAGATAATCAACATCCTCTTAATATATCATCAATCTATCTAGATTAATTAATTCAGGTCATGGTCTAAGATTTACATCTAGCAAGGGGTCA